TCGACACTAAAAAGGATGCCCACTCTACCCCGCCCCCCATCAGAACAGTAAAAAATGAGAGTATGGAAAATTCAGCTGTCTGTAGATCTTGCAGTCCCAAGTGACCCCGCAGCTTCACCAAAAAAACATTTATGTTGCATCGACGTTTTGAGGTAACAACCACAAAGGCGCCTTTGCTAAGGATGTAGCTTGCAGACGTTGGCTGCCTGCTGTTTGTCCATTGGTCTCAAGACAATGCTCGAGTACACCGCCCGCACAGGAGTCATGTTTTGAGGTGGGAGCGTTTCTCACACGATTCGCCATGCTCCCCGATCAACTCTGACTTGAGGGACAAGACCCCAAGTGACTGGAGAGGCGCGGCTTCCAGCCCAGAGGCAAAACCCATCCCAGAGCACGTCCTGGAAGGAGGCATCCACATCATCACATTGCCGAATACGGGGGAAGATAACATACAAATAGCAGGGCTGACCCCCAAAAAGCGGACAATGGTCCAGAATGGTCCAGAAGACTTCTCTGTATGGTCTTGGCAAGGACCTCGTCCGGGTGAAAAGGACTGTTGAAAGACGGGAATCAGGACCTTGGAAACCTCCAGGATGAAAAAGCTCAAGGCGGGGGGTTTCCCGCCTCCATCTCTCAACTGGTCGGCTCTTGAAGGCACGCGTGATCTACACCATGTCATCCAGACGGTCCAGCTGCCTCGCTAACGGGAGGCAAAAGGGACAGTCGCAAGCCAAGCCGCTTCGCACAGCCAAAGGGGTGGTTGCGGCGGAAACAACATGGGGGTCCGCCCTGCTCCTCCTTGCAGCGCTTAGCGGCTGCTGCCGAAATGGCCTTCGCCAGCTTCAGCATCAAGTCCTCTGAGTCAGCTTGTATCACCTTGGCGTAGACGGGTCATGACACCGGAGACCATCCCAGTGTAGGCGTGATAGACCTTTGAGTGATCTGTCCTAAGCAGCACTGGTCGGAGCTGACGATGCTGTATCCCAGCGAAACGATCCATTCTGTGGACGAGATAGAAAAGTACCTCCACGCATTGGGGTCCCGGAGCATTCTGCTAGGGCCTCAAGGTGCTCAAGAAAGTCTGCTATGTGCTGGGCTCGTGTATCGGCCCGGTCAATTGCGGATTTTGCTGCTAAAACTTCACGCCACCTCTCCAAACCTGCAAGGGGGCTTCGCTGGACCTGTCTCTCCGAAGGGGCCCTGCTGGTTGTGGAACTGGTCATGTCATCTCAGTTCCCTGGGTCTAATCTTGTTCCTGCGTAACTTGGCTGGGTCAAATGGGCTGTTTGCCCTGAGCTAATTATGGACCTGGCAGCACATTCCAGTTTTTGCAGGGCCAACGGCAGACACAACAGGGCGGCAAGTAAAGATTGTTGGGGGTGGGCGATCAACACTTTCACAATGGACAGCATCCGAACACTAGAGCCAAGTGATTTCTTTCGCCTTGAAGTTTGCAAGCTTCTGCAAGCGCGCAAGGTCCGAGAACAACACAAAAATTGCATCAGCTTGCGCAGACTGACTCACTCCATCGCGCTTTTGGCACAGGGGTCTGTGGCTGTGGTCTGTCTGCATCTGAGGACCGGGCATCACCAGTTTTGTCGACACCCAAGTCTCGAAGAAGCACTTCCTCACACAACTGCTACTCTGCATTGCCATATCATACAAACTCAAAGCTGAGCGCCGAGCCCTCATCTGTGACACAAAAACATCTACATCCACGTTCATGTCAAAAAGCAAGTCAACCTTGTTAAGTACCACGTTCACCTGCGAGCCAGGCTTGTTGCAAAGGGCTTGAACCATGGCAAATGTATGGACAACGGAAGCCCTCAACCTACACTCAGTTGGTTCCGCGGATCTCTGTATACAGGAGATGACTACCTCTTGCGAACGGGGAAAGAGGAAATGTCAAGATTTCAGAGTTCGTCAGCCTTGCTTAGTGTTGCGGAAGAGCGTTGTCTCTGAAATGGATCCTGCTGACTCGGAGCGATGCACTTTGGCCTGACAGCATGACCCTTGACTGTTTAGACCCATCATTCCTTCACATGTCTTCACATGGGTTTCCTGAGAGGCTTGTCATCTTGATAACTTGGCTGTTCACTCCTGACATTGAGTTTTCACCCCCTTGGAGCCAGTCTGTTTAGCTACCATTGCCTTGCTGTGCGCTTTTCAACATTTGTCCTCCAATCTGGATGCTGTGAGATGGCATTGCTCGAGACAGATGAAAATCCCCCGAGGGCGCGTTTAAATCTAGGTTCGGCGACTACGGTTCTAGCAGTGTGGGTGGGATCGGCTCCTTTTTTTTTCAGGGGTGGCAGGGCGGGTCCGCATGGTCGGCAGGGTTCCGCACAGGCTGGCAGGCAGGGGGCCGATGAAGGTTCCGCCTGGGCGCCAGGCCGAAAACACGGGTGCGCTTTTGTGGGCACCATGCAAAATCAGGATGAAGCAAACGCCAACATTCGGAGGCCATCACTCTTTGACCAAGCATGCTTCTGCTGGGATGGCTCAGATTCTGAATCTCAACAACCTTTGCCGAGGCGGTCTCGCGTTAGCGGATAAATTAGTTGGGCACGCAAGACCTCCACACAAGCCTTTGTGTTCAACCTCCGTAGCCTTCTCAGGAAGGAAAGTTCCTCGGCCAGCTCCGGATGCAGCCACCTGACAGGCATCATAGGTCTCGGATGCCTTGCGGCAACGGTCATGCAAAATTGCTGTCAAAGCACCAGGAGTCTTCTACTGGCGGGCCGATAGAAACGCCGTCCAGCTCCGGGCCTCAAGTAGTGCTTTGCTCAAATTGGAGAAAATGCCTTACATTATTCCTCCTTCAAACAGTGCCACTGAGGCTGCATCATGCGGGCATGTAGTCGCCATATGCCAAGCATTTAGACGCATCAAGAACCCAAAACAATGCATCAGCAGCCTCAGATGGTGCCGGGCATTCATGTCAATGATGATGATTCGCAGCTGCTTGTAGGACACGCGCTCTGGTTTGTTTCCACGCAGTTTTTACCATTGCCTGGTACAAAGCTTTTGTCTCCCTAAAGCTTCTCGCCCGTTTGTGTCTGGATGTTGCTGCTACAGTAGAAGTGATCAAGCCTGGCCTTGTGGAGTTTTGTTTGTCGAAACAATCGCTTCCTCTTGTGCCTGCACGTCACTGCTCTCGCTTTGCCGGAAATGTTCCACCAAAGATGTTACATCATCAAACAATATCCCGCCTGAACGCAAACTCAGAAACAGATTCGCCAACCTCCATGATACCAGCTGTGTCGGCAAAGACAGCCTGCACCGTTGTTGCAATCTTCCTCCAAAGACTTACACAGCGGTTCTGTGCACCTGGGTGGTCGGTGCCGAATCAGCAGTTGGAGCCAGCAAAGCTAAGCCTTCGCCGAGCACGATGATGCCACGTTCCGCTGGCAAGGGTGGGCCCCTTGCCCAGAATTCTCTGCCGAGTAGTCTGCGGCTTCGGCGACACGATGGACACCTTCGCATGTACTCGCAACATGATGTAAGCTCATGCAAGAACCTTTGTCACGCCGCCTTGGTGCCCACGAGGGCGTTCACCAGAGAAGATTTGCCAGAATTCGGCACGCCGAGCACAGCAACTTGTCCACTGCGCTGGATGTGCCTGACATCCACCTGAAATGAGAAGCAGCTTGTGAGCTCTTGGGCAGCTGCTTTGCGCCTCCTCCACCTTGTCCTCTTCCGTCACAACAGGAGCTATGCTCGTCTCACTATCCTCAGCCTGGTCTGGTCTCACTGCCAAACCTACATTCAAAGTTGCACAAGCCTCGTCAGAACTGTTTTCAGCTCCAGGTCTTGAAGCCTGAAGCAGAGTTTGTGGTAGCCGATGTTCCATCCTCTTTCTGCCCACCTGCAGCTGTCGAAGCTCGCTCATCATCGCTTCGATCTCGGACCCAGGGGCGACTTCGCCAGTGTCGAAGTCTGCCATCACAAAGAAAGGCATTTACCAAGTGGAACAGTTTGGGATGGACCTGACAAGTTGATGCAAGTAATCTTGCTATAAGCAATGGCCCTACGCCAGAACTACGCACCCTACCCTCGTGGCTCAGCGTACAAGGCCCTGCTATTCAGCTGCTATTCGCATGTGACCGAACCCTGGCCCATGGCGAACAAGTCAACTCAGCGTGCGTACAATAATGCTGGACATCTTTGACATCACAAGCCCAGCCCCACCTATTGCAACTCAGTGATGCAAAGTGTTGTCTAAACAAGATTCTGGCAATGCAAAATACAAAAGTCGCTGATTGCTGATTTCATCCGCACTTGCTGTTGCGCCTTGGCCGTCAGAGGCCGCCCGCCTGTCTAGCTACCAGCTATCAATCAAAAGCTTGTTGCCCACCTCCTGACACTTTGCCCTGCGCAGCCTCTGGAAGAAAGCCCTTTTGATGCCTGCAGCATATCAAAGATGCTCAGTGTTGAGAAGCCTTTTTTCCTTGCGCAACCATCCAGAGGGCCTCTCTTTCTATGCTGCTTGTACCTAAGGGCAGCTGAGGGTGACATTCCTGCTTTCATGGGATTCAACACTAGGTTCCTGACCGATATCCAGTCAGGATAGCCACGGATAAGCTTGCTATGCTCTTTGAGGGCCGTGGCGTTCGAGAAGGGGATGAGTAGCCCGGCTCCGGCAGACATCTTGCAGTTGCAGCACTTGCAAGATGCCTTCGCTGTTCGAGGTCTTCAGAAACAGCAAATGTATGCTCCTAAAACCTGAATAGGATTCTGTGCTGGCGAGGCACCGAGTTTCGTGGCCAGTCAGCAAACGAACTTCCTGCAGGCCAACATTCAGTGTGCAGCACGCTAGCCACAGCGTGGAAAGACACTGAAATTGACCAGACAAATGAAAAAACAATGGCTGACACTCACCTTCCTTTGCTTTGAGCACGGCATGCAACGCTGCAAAGCTTCATTCTTACTGTATGCACTCCATGCTTTCTTACAATCAGCTAGGGTAGCTACAGATGGCTGCCCATGTGGTGAGCAGATCTGTGCCTGGCATCATCAACTTACAAACAAACCTGGTGGTCTGCTTGCCTCTCCCGTCTTGATACAACTGCCCCACCCGTCACAGACAACAGTGAATAAACATATGTACTTCCGGGCACTCCCTACCCGACCCGACCACTTACATTTGAATTGCACGTGCGCGCGTACCCCGCTTGCTTCTTGCAGGTCAGGAAAGGCATAAACGGAATTGAACAGGACAAAGGGTATGGATTCTTGCATGCATGCATTTATGCATGATGACCATCAGGTAGCACGAAGACTCTAGATGGCGACCCCTGCATGCGACGCTTACAACCTTTCAATCTATGCGTGAAGCCTTAACCCTGAACCCTGCAACGTGACCTTACACCCGCCAACCCCAAAGCTGCCAATCAACCCTGAAACAACGACCCGAAAAGCCTCAACACTTCATTTGATAGACAAGATCCTTGATGACCTTATAGAAATTTTCCGTGGAACTTTGGTAGCACGATGTACCAAGTTGCGCAGCCAAAGGTCCAGAAGCAATGACGTCATTTGCAAGGACGGCAGGTCGGCGCTGCGACTGCTACTCATTACCTTCTAGGATGTCAAACCTTGCGGCAAGAGCCCTCGGTACAGGTTCGGGAATTCCAGTGCCAGCACAGACTTCCGCAAATGGTGCAGGTAGCCCAGATCCCGAAACCGCATTCTCCGGCCTGCGGAATGCCAGAACCTCACACAGGCACGGTGCAGCAACACACTGCTTGTCGATCAAGAGCATGCCAAGGGGCAAGTGGACAGAGACGGCATAGAGTAGGCTAGCCCCATAGCTCAAAGTTGAAGACTCATGCCACAACACAGACCGCTTAGCTTCCAGTCATCAAATTCCTTGTCATCAAACTAAGAACTTCGAGTTTTGCAAGAATCTCATGAAGTCCTACACAAAGATTGTCCCCGTTAAGATTATTCCCGTCTGTTGGTAAGACCAGGTGTCCAGGTGGATACCTCACTTGCCTTGAGGAATTCATGGGATGATTAGCATGGTGAAGTTGTGATGCGACGGAAATAGTGAGATCTCTTAACATGCTGGGTACGTAGAACATCAGAGTACACGCAAGTACGCTGAGCTCAAATATGCATTGCTACCATGCTGTGTTTCCAGCCAATGTGCAAAATTGACCTTGCTAGCATGACAATGGAGGAATAGGCTCGAATAGCCTCAAACTAGCTCTGACATCGTGAAGCCGTCAATTTCTTTTCAACCGCATACTGATCCCGGCAGGTACCTAAACCATGCCGTGTTGGCACGAACAGCACGAAGAGCTGCGCTCCTCAACGGTGTGTGCGATGTCGACTTCTGGTGTCTGACCTCTGGATGTCGCGGCCGATTCCGCCTGCCAAACCACGGGGACAAAGATTTCCTGATAAGGCTTTCCAGAACTATGGCAGCTTATCGCAAGGTTTGCTTATGTTCTTGTCTTCGCTGAATAAAGATTTACATCGAGAGATAACGCTTGCTTCTTGCGCAGGGTACTTGCCCTGAATCCGTGCGTTTTTTCGACAAGGCACAGCGATTAATGCTGAGGAGAATAGGAATGCACAATGCCGCTAAGCAAGCAACATAAGGATGACAAAGCCCGACCCCATCGGCACCATCAGCAGCCTTGCCCCTTCTGATCATCCTCTTGAGACTTGCGCCCTGATTGAAGCGTGGGCTTCCCAGATGGTGCGGAAGAAGTTTGTGTGCCTGATTGAGCAAAACGTCAACAGGGCCAGGCAGAAAGCTCTTGAGGCATGGGTTGAAGATGGTTGAAGGGAAGTCAGAGGCACAAGCACTAGCACGGCTCGGAGGACATGAGGACGCGAGGCAGCGCAAGCTGCCAGACTGCCGAACACGGCGAATGCAGAGACCTCCCTAGGCTGGGCGGTCACATTACCTTTCTTCCAAACCGGAGTCCCTACCTAAATATGGCGACGGCTTGAATTCGAGAAGCTGCATTGGCATGGGAGAGAAAAGCCTGCAAGGTAGACTCTGAAGCGTGTAGGGGGCAGCAGGAAGATGCTGGAAGTGCTTCAGTATATCTCCACTGGATTCAGCTGACAATGCCTTCCTCTGGCCTGACACGCGCATTGCCAGTACTCAGCAAGCTGCGCGGCACCAGGAGGCCACAAGCTGTCGGACGATTGACAAGAGCCAGTCCATAGAAAGTAGAAAGTAGGTTGTTGACACTGGCGTGAGCTTAGCCATCTGACCCAGCGCCAGTTGGGAGAGCAGCAGAGCTTGCTGTAGGTGAAGCTCCCCAAAGTACAGCTAAAGCTGCATCGATCAGGGGTAAATTGCATCGTTCACGTGGAGTTCGAAACAGGAGGAAGAAGTGCAGGAGCTGCATCAGCTGCGCCAGTCGATAGCGGAGTCACCAGCAAAGGCACCATGTGATCTATAATTATGAGCTACAGTCAATAGTTCCTACAGAATTTACTGGACATGGGTTCCTTATAAACGACTATATTTGTGACTATACTAATTAAACTATGAGAGGGACGCCTGTGTCCACTGCTAAGGCTTAGCAGTGGACACCTGCGAAGGGTTCTTTAATAAGGCTCGGTTAATATTAACAGTAGTCCGCCCCGCTCGTCTTCAAACCAAGGTACACCGAGGGAGTAAATGAACAACCAGACTTCGCCTTTTAGGCTAGCATAAATCAAGCCAAGACTGTGCCAACGCCTCCATGAAATTTCAGAAGTCGATGTTGGTTTGTCACGGACACAACATGAGCAACGCCAAGTCCTTCCTTCTGCTGTAGGTGATCTCCGATCGCGGATTCCCGTATCAGCATGAAACAGGAGAGGACAAGCCCGTTGGCTCCGGTGCATGAGCAATCGAAGGCCTATCACACCAGACGCTCAAGTAATCCAAGCTGGTCGCAAAAAAACACGGATAGGATCCACGAACCCGAATGCAGACAGGTGATACATACATCGCAAAGAAAAACACCCTGCGCGCGACACCAATCAGGAAACTTAGATCCGGGGTCATCCTCTCTCCTCTCCCTCATCCCTCGTCTGTAACTTGTTTTATCTTATCTCTCCTCTCTCCTCTTTCCTCTCCTCCCCCTTCCCTCCTTTCTCATCTCTTCTCTGCTCTCTCGTCTCTCCTCTCTCCTCCCCCTCATCTCTCCTCTCTATTCTCTTTTCTCTTATCTCTCCTCTTTCCTCTCCTCCCCCTTCTTTCCTTTCTCCTCTCTTCTCTGCTCTTTCCTCTCTCCTCCCTCCTCTCCTCTCTCTTCCCTTGTCTTTCTTCCCTCCTCTCTCCTCTCTCTTCTCTCCTCTCGCCTCTCTCCGCTCTCTCCGCTCTCTCCTCTCCCATCTCTTCTCTCCTCTCGCCTCTCTCCGCTCTCTCCTCTCCTCTCTCTTCTCTTTTTTCTCCTCTCTCCTCTCTCCTCTTTCGTTCTTTCATGCGGGCTCTGAGGCAATCCTAGGCAAACCCGGGATAACTTCGGGCTTCAGTGCCCAGCCGCGGTTGGGCTGTGAAGTCAACTCTCACCCCTCGCTGCTTCACCTGTGGCCTATATCTTCGGGACTTAAGGGGACTAATAAGGTGATATGCCTGGCCAAGGTGAAGGCTGAAAATGGTAAGTGTCACTATTTGCTTGCCAACAATTGGTTGTCTGACCTGATGAATAAAATCAAGTAGAGGGCTGTGATTAGTATTGTTGGCAATGAAAGGCTCATACAAGTGAAGGTCATCCAAAATTTTGTTGGCCTGTCAAGTGCAAAGAGGTGAACTACCACAAACTAACACACCTTTGATTGTAGGTTAGGATGTTGACTCAGGCCTGTGAGGGAATCAAACGGTATCATATGACTTGGCGCGGCGCTCTGTGTGGTAAAGATACTGGAAACAGCGTACAC